AAAATATTCTTCCCTATTAGACTAACTGAATGGAGAATATCTTCACTACCAAGAATTCGCGAATCTTTTTCGTTAACTCAACGAAAGATATTAATTCACCCCAAAAATAAAAAAAAGAATTTATATTTGCTAAAATTCACACAAAATTCTCCCAAAGCGAGGCCCTTCCATAGTACTACGGTTATTTTGACCTTTGCGATCGCCCCAAATGTGAATGACTCGGTTGCGCTAGTTCTAAGTGTGGGGTCAGCGTTCGTGCTCGCACGAGAAACCAGCCAAAAACAGATTTTTTTTTTAATCTTTAAAAAGTCCTTGTAAGTACTTCGAATATCATTCACACTTACGAAATGTGAATAACACGCTGATTCTGAGAGTTGCATTTTTTGCGAGACAAGCTAAACAAATTTTGATTTAAAATTTATAATTTTATCATCAAAAGAGTGCCAAAAATTTAGTAAAAAAAAATTTCATTTTTTTTTTATTTCTTTGGGTGAATTAATATTTGCGATTAATAAATTAATATCATTTGAGGCAAATTAACAGAAAAGATCCGAATTTGCTTCAATAACCCTACATTTATTGCTGAAGATTATTTTCTCTTGTTTGAAATCTATTTTCTTGAATTCATTGTTAACCTCTGTATTAGATAAATCTCGTCGTGATAGTATTCTTTACGAGCAATTCCATCATGGCTGTCAAAGGTCGACTCTCATTAAACCTCGTTACGTTGCATGATAGGATTGCATTCGATCGTCATGGATGGGATGAATTAGTCTTTCCCTGAGAATTAAAAAATGATGGAGAAGTTTATTTCCCCCTGCTCATTGGGTGCACTGAATAAAACAAGGTGACATTAACGGTGATTCTGGAAGATATTCGACTGTGGAAAAATGGCCAGTCATAAAAGAGTCACATCATAATAACTCGTCTAGATACGATCTGACCTGAACTTCTTTTCTTTTCTTTTTCTCGATGGGAAAAGCAAAATTGTGGTCTGAAGCTGATTATTTTGTTTCTAATTCGTACAGCAGATACATTAATATAAGTTTGGAGACTGAAAGAAATGGATTTCCCTCATCTACTTGGGCGTTGGCCTGTGTCAAAGAACGAAAGAAATATGGGAGTAGAAAGGTAGAACGAAGAACAAAAATAAAAGATTTACAAAGACTTGGATGGATATTGCATAAAAATAACCCCGCCCGTCTGTTTTTTTTTCTTTTTCTTCTTCTTCCCAAAATTCTTTTCTTTGCTTCTGCACAAATTCAGCAACTGATTCTGTGGGGTTGTTAGGTGACTGAGAAGCAAAGATCTCATGAAAATAGTTGTATTAATATTTCACATTTTGTTTTATAAATATGATTTCCCTTGACTCGTTTATATGAAAAAATATTGCCTTTGTTAGTGGAATTACACTTGAGTGTTCGGGACGAAGAATTCAAAAATATTTCCTGTTCCTTCAACCCTTGGTGCACATTTCGGGTACCTTGGATGACCTGCCAACAGCTCTGTTGTTCATTTGGAGATATATGACGGTCGTGATAGATCCAATTAATCAGGAATTCTAAGCTCTAGAGTACAAACATTCATGATCAGTTTCTTTGACTTAGAGGAATCCTGTTTTAGATATTTCTAACTTCAATATCTGTCTATATCTCTGAAATGAGGTGTTATATTTACATACATTATTCACATTATTCGAACTGTTATCCTCATCATCATTGCCATATTCACAACGTTTCGGCCCCTATATCTCTGAGATGAGGTATTATATTTACTTGCATTATTTACATTATTCACATTATTTGGACTGTTATCCTCCTCATCATTGGCATATTCACAACGTTTCGGCCACTATATCTCTGAGATGAGGTATTATATTTATTTGCATTATTCACATTATTCACAAAATTCGGACTATTATTCTCATTATCATTGCCATATTTCGAAGCGAAACCTTTATTTCGTCCACTGGGGTAGATTGTTCTACTTCCACGTGCCATATCTCTTCAGGATGTTTCATTTATTTCCCGTTATCTCAACCTCTTCATTTTTTACCAGTGCTCATATTGCAGTTTTTTTTTCTTTTATTATTATTTCACTTTTTTACTAGAGCTTATATTGCAATTTTTGTTGTTGTTATTCATTGCTTTTCTCTAGCACTACTTATTACTGGTTCTCATACTGTATTCATTTCTATGCTTAGTTGGCTCAGGAGATTTTTGTGGCCTAGCATATGTGCTGATTCCTTAAGTTTTCTAACTTCGTCGCAAAACTATATCGAGGGGAAAAATGATCTACAAATTAAAATCAGTTTTTTTACAATAAAATCACCCTTTGCTAGGCCTAAGAGCCATTCTAAATATATGGCTACAGTGTAATAGGCACACTTTATGTGGATATGTGGGTGAGATAGCGATTAACTCTAGACGTGAATAAGTTAAGATTGTCGTGATCGGAGAGGCATCCTCTTGAGAATTGGTTCCATAAAGCAGTTGTTCGTGGAACTTACATCTCACCAGTGGAATACGAAGGGAATGAGATTGGTTCGCAACAATATGTGGCATGGTGGGTCTTAACTGGTGGAACGAAATAATGTAGCTCGTCTAAATACTTTCCATGGAGATAGCATGAGAGTTAGAGGCTTGCAATGTTTCGTTTGGAGGAAAGCGGTTCTAGGGTGGAAAAGGACTAATCACTCACAAGGGCCGGGTGATACATTTGAACTGGGATTATTACAGGGACAAAATCTCACAATAATCAACAGATATCCGATATCAGCCAATCAATGGACATATGTTGACCAGCAGGTCGAAAAGTTGTGCCTGTAACATAAGATATTTTTTTATGTGAAATGGCCATACACATGGATATGCATCTGAACCAAGGACAATTATTTCTTAGTCCTAGCAACCACTACCACACTGGCGTTGATATTACACGGACCCCACCTCTCTTAGTGGAATAAGTTGGCGCTGGGTCGGAATGCTCGTGACCGGTTATTAATGAGAAGAGAGAGAGCACATACTCCATTTTAATACTCGCCAAAAGGCTGAGAATGGATAAATGAAAATTCTCTCTTGGTGGCCTGTAACCGAATTCACAACGTTCTGTATGTTTGTTGATAGATATAATGGACTAGATTTCTCTTTTCGAGGTAAGCATTGAACGTACGTCGACGATAAAAAAAAAACAATTTAATGTCGACTTTCAATGGAAAATAAAAGCAAAAATCGGACATAAAACATTCAGTCGGAACATAACCCCCCCTCTTTCTATTTTTTTTTTCAAAACGATTTATTCCCATAAGAATTCTTATTTTAATCATTTTTGACACTGAATGATGAAAAAGAAATCAACTCTGGGGATTGTTTTTTAACACCAAATAAACTCTTTCTGTACTCCCTTGTTTCATTATTCCCTTCCATTTGGCTTCGTCTACCACAAATTTACATACACAAACAATAATCACATACCCGACATAGACTGGTAAGTTTGTCACGTTACTTTTCACTCTCTCATGCACAAACGCACACACACACACACAAATATATATATATATATATGTGTGTGTGTGTGTGCGCGTGCGTAAAAATTTAGATATAACTAAAAATATATCAGTAATATATATATATATATATAGTATTCAAAATAAGAAAAAAATCTCAAACAGTCAAAACATGAAGAGAAACTAACAGCACCAAGGCAAAAAAAAACAAAAAAAACTTCAAAATGGCTAAGGAAATGTCCAAAGGCGCTTGTGATATTGGACGTTATGAACAGTTTTTTCTATTCTAACCAAACGGAAAAATGTAAGAACGCTGGAAAAACTAAATACAAATTTTCTTGTCCGCCATATTTAACAAAGGATGTTTAAAAAGAAAGGTTGATACTCAAATACATGAATTATATATCTATATATATATATATATATATATATAAAAGTGAACATAGAAGTCAAAACTTAGAGGCAACAGTCTGTTTCATGCTTGATGCAATCTATATATATATATATATATATATATATATATATATATATATATATATACACAGTCTTTTTTATGCTAGATGCAATATATGTGGCCTGACGATTGCATCTAGCATAAAACAGACAGTCGCCTCTAAGTGTTGACTTCTATGTTCACCTTTATATTTACATATGCTCTATCTCTGATATTGAGAACTTTATCACATAAATATAGCACATCTTCAGACTATATTTCTTTATATATATATATATATATATATATATATATATAGAGAGAGAGAGAGAGAGAGAGAGAGATTTGGTGCACATGATATAAAATTCCTATACCCAAAAATACAATTTTTAAATTCAACATCATAACTTGATAAGACACCAGTAGTGTTGAAAAATATTGCAACTTTTGTAGTGATCTTATAATATGTATAAATTTGAATATATATATATATATATATATATATATATATATATATATATATATATATATATATATATATATATAATCCAATTAAACGTTATTTTTAGTGGAAACTCATATTTGAGTAAAGTCCCCGTTATAAATATTCAGACTTGTCTGATTGTCAAAAGTTGGTCTGAAAGCACCTCGGATCTAACGACGGCTCCCCCTGACCAGGGAGACACAGGTTCGAATTCTGCCGGAGAACGCATATTTTCTTTAATAAGATTTATCCAATGCTCAACCCGGTAGACAAACATATATAGTGTTTAATGAATAACTAAATTTAGAAATTTCTTATATATACATATATATGTGTATATATATATATATATATACAGTGTAACCCGGATATAAGAGACCCGGATATAAGAGAGATTTTCTCTGGTCCCAGATTAGAGCCTGTGTTAATGTATATAAAATAGACCAAACCCGGATATAAGAGACTTCTTCTCCGGTCCCGACAACTCTCTTATATCCGGGTTACACTATATATATATATATATATATATATATATATATATATAAATCCTCTATGAAAAGAGATACTTTATTTAGGGCATACGGCCATATCAAGTTGAAAGTCCAGTTCTTGTCATTCTCGTAAGATCACCGAAGTTAAGCAACATTGAGCCAGTCAGTACCAAATGGGTGACCGATTGGGAATACCAGGTGCTCTATGCTTGGCTGTGCGGATGGTGTAGTGGATAATGGCTCGCAATTGGAAATAAGACAATCAGTTCCACACATGTTTGCTATATTTACTTACGCACAAATACCATTGGCAATGGTATGAATCCACTTTTTCTCCCTCCCCCAGCTATGAGTTAATTAGTATGACTTTTTTCAATAAATCATTATCTTAAAAAAATTCTTGTTTTATGGCTTTAAATAACCTGCGCTTGATAAACCAAAAAACGTAATCGATACATTTTTTAATGTTGGCTACTTCCCTTTTATTACAACAGCCTTCAGAATTTCGAGTCTTGCTTTGCACTATATCCTATATAAAATTGTGTTTTACAGTGTAACCCGGATATAAGAGAGTTGTCGGGACCGGAGAAGAAGTCTCTTATATCCGGGTTTCTCTTTTATATCCATTTTGGTCTATTTTATATACATTAACACAGGCTCTAATTTGGGACCAGAGAAAATATATATATATCCGGTTATATATATATATATATATATATATATATTTTTGGTTGGATAGATGTTAGCTCTATCTCTGATATTGAGCGCTTTCTAATAAGTACCATATATAATATATAAATAATTATACATATATATATTTATTTATATTTATATACACTTTATACACACACACACACACACACACACACACACACACACATATATATATATATATATATATATATATATATATATATATACTAGCAGACATACATAGCTGGTCGATCAGAAAAAGCGTCCAATTAGAATGAAGCAAAAACAGCATCATGTTTAGATTTAACAGAGTCTTTCTTCTTCAATTAGTTTAAAGTACTTTCATAAAAACATTTTGAATTAATGCAGTTAATATAACAAAAGTAGTCTGTAGTTATTCAGTCGAAGTTAGCTGAGGACATGAAGGGGTAAAACAGGCAACATGAAGACCCACTTCAGACTACAATTATTTTGGAGTTTTTTGAAATTCAATTTGTCAGTGTGCTACCAGGGATGTAAAAAAGGATACATTTATAAAGCAATTGTTAAGTTTGATGAAAATTGGTTGAAAGATCAACGAAAAATAAGAAAGAAACCAGTAAAAATCGCCATTTTTCGCAGTTTACGCGTGTTTTCCCTACATGGGTGAAAAATGTTCGAACGAACTACATTCCCTGGTTCCGTCAGCTGAAACCTTCACGGCAAGGACACGCCATGCCACTAACGTTGTAGTGGACCACCCAAATTCCCTACGTACCACATCGGCGAGAAGTAAGTTCCATCCGAACAGCGTCTTCCTGCGGACCACTTCTCAGTGGAATTGATCCCAAAGAGGATGTTTCCTCGATCACTACAGTCTTCACCTGTACAAGTCTTGGGCCAGACTTTATCGTCTACTCCTAACGTAACCCTCTACCTCGAGTGGCTCTTTCTCTCTGTTGCTCTTGCCTTCGATACGTCTTGTGATTGATATTTCCAAGCACTCTTTCCTCATGATCTGTTTCCAAAATTGCCTTTATCTAAGTATTTTTTTTCTTAGGACTCACTCGTTTACTCATATGCTCCCAGTTTGAATTAGTATTTTTATCTGATTATTTCAATGTGTTTTCTTTAAAAAAAAAAAAAAAAAGAAAAGAAAAAAAAAACACGACAATTTCATGATGAAAATCTCGATTGCTTGCTTCGAAACTAAAACTACGCTGGACATGGCCATAAATCTGTCAGAAACTGATAAACTTGATTTCTAACATAATTTTGCCTTCTTAAAATCGGATATCAATATTTATCAGGCCCCACCAATCTCATCTTGGCCATTCTTTTGATAAAATCTACAAGTGCTAGCTATTCCTTCACCGAATTTTTTTTTATATCGTTTTTTTACGATGCGAGATGTCATGATCGTTCGGTGATATACCTTGTCGCAAATACACGAGAATAAGGACGTGTTGCTACCCTTAAATAACGCGTGGAATTTGAACTGCGGGCACGAATCGACTTTCGCCTGAAATCTTAGGTAAACTGTAAAAATAAATAAACCAAACATAGTTGCTTTGGGAAAAGCCTAATAATCTATACTGGTGAAAATCGATTTTTCATATAGCAATTAACGAAGATTTGTTTAATATCTGGATACGGCAGTGGGGATTAAAACATCAACAAAAACAGGGTCTTAGATATTTTTATATTTCGCAACGACGGCTGGTATTTAAATCAGGATAAAAATCAAACAATCGAATGCTGATTTTCAAAGTAGGCATGCCTTCTCTGCTTGAAAGATTGACGTAGAACTATATATTTTATCCCTAATCCGATTCTTCTACGAACATTTTTCTTTGTGACGAATTGCGAAAGTATCATATATATATATATATATATATATATACCTTCACACTTCTGAGTTGCCAATGTCAATATATGTCTTCTTGTTGGTTGAAATAACTATTTGAGGTAAATTTGAATTTCTCTTCTATGTAATTTATATGTTCTGTTATAATAAATATATTGAGCTCTTTTTGTGGATCAATATTAATATTTTATATTATTAGGATTCACTTGGATTATTACCTGTGTGTATATATATATATATATATATATATATATATATATATATATATATATATATGTATGAAATTGTTTTGGTGGACTTCAACGTAAAACATTATATATCAGGACTTTGCAACGATATATATATATATATATTTTTATATATATATATATATATATATATATATATATACATTGTAACCTAACGGATATAAGAGAGTTGTCAGGACCGGAGAAGAAGTCTCTTATATCCGGGTTTGGTCTATTTCGTTTACATTAACACAGGCTCTAATTTGGGACCAGAGAAAATCTCTCTTATATCCGGGTCTCACTATATATATATATATATATATATATATATATATATATATATATATATATACAGCGGGGTGAAAAGTAAGTAGGTATTAAAAAAATGGTAATATAATCCTTATTCCTATTACAAATGATACATTTTCTTTATTACATGGGAAAATGAATTTAAATCTTCATATTTCAATGTAAGCACCGGTGGCATCAACCAGTTTCCTCAAACGGCCAGGAATGGAATGAGAATCTTCTGAAGGACGTCGTCTGTGATATCATTGAGAGACTCCTGAATCCGTGCCTCTAAGTCCTCCAGTGTGCGAGGTCTTGTCTTATACGCCTCCTCTTTTGTGTAACCCCACAGGTAAAAATCACATGGAGTGAGATCTGGACTTTTTCGAGGCTATTCATGAGGTCCGCGTCGTCCCATCCAACGTCCTGGAAAATGTTGGTCTCACCACGCACGGACAGTAAGCGCAAAATGGAGTGGTGCAGCATCCTGCATGAATATCATGTAATCAATGTTATCCCAGCCAGACAACGTGAGCCGGACGTAATTTTCGAGTATCTGAAGATAGCGGTCCGTATTCATGGTGACACGCAGAAGATATGGGCCGATGACACTTGTTGTCGTCATTCCACACCACAAGGTCATTTTTGGTCGAGCTTGCATCACCTCAAGGCAGGCTGTACTACTTGGCATTCGCGCCAATACGAACGTTTCATAGTGTCTGAGTGTCAATCTGAGAACAGTGCAGAGGATTCGGAAAGAGTTGGATGAGTCTAATGGCGATTACGAAGATACAGCAGCGCAGATAAGAAAAGCAACTCCCGTATGTGTTGGTGAGGGCCTCACTCAACACGGAGGCCTACATCACGTAGTGCTGCTGTGGGTCAAGAGGGTGGCTGCTAGAAGACCCTTTGTCTGCCAACAGGACTCTGCACCATGCCACATAAGCAGGTGAACCCAGTCATGGCTGTCAAGACATTTTCTGCGACCACATCACCCCTTACATCTGACCATCTAACTAGCCAAATTGCAACCTTCTAGATTATTATGTATAGAGTGCAGATAATGCAAGAGACCAACAAAACTCCTTGTAATACTAAAGATGAACTGACGGCAAGGATTATGGCCGCATTCACCAACTTAAGCAAGGAGACCGACCAGAACAGTTGTAGGAGATGCCGTTGTTAAAGCCATTATTGAATAAATTAACTCTTTAGTATTTCAAGATATTTTGTGTAATTTTGGTAAATACATCTGTTAAAATGAGATGTCAGTGTTATTTTCATTTTGGCGTCATTTAGACGACAATTTATCCATCGCACCCTCTATATATTTCATTGAATAACATAAAGATATTGCGTCTATTAATTTTAATACTAATCCTTTCCAGATCTCTAATCAGCTAAGATGAATTCATCAAGGAAGGTGGCGTAGTCTTCTTCTAACTCAAGTACTTTCGATCTTTTCTAAGATCATCTTCAGAGGTAAATTACAAAGACAGACTTATTGTAACTGCGATAAAATGTGAATTACCTTGTGATGGGGATTTTTAGAAATTTTTAAATAATTCCTGGGCGTGTTCGTGCGTATATTTTTTTTAAAAAATACCATCGCAACGGAATACAGATTTTAACGCAGTTACAATAAGGTCGTAATTTGTAATTTACCTCTGATTATGTTCTTGGAAAAGATCGAAAGTACTTGAGTTAGAAAAAAACTACTGTACTTTCTTTGATGAATTTCATCTTAACATCAAGAAATTGATTAGAGAACTGAAAGGATCAATATAAAAATAAATGGACACAATATGTTTATATTATTACCGTAATTCCTCATGCGTAATATACGCCCCTATAATACGGTAACCCCTTGCGTCCTAGTGGCTTTATTGCCTTGATTAAAAAATAAGGTACAACCGAGAAATAAAGCGGAACATCATCAAAATCATGCTGAATACATCCAATGAATTCATTATTCTTGTATTTTCATTCTTGTTAAATGTTTTTCATAAACATATATAAATTGGTTACCGTGTATAATAAGACTTCATCCATAATACCTGCCCTTAAAATTGTGCTGAAAATGTGGGAAAATGATTCTACTCATGCATAATACGCATTCCTTTTTGGTAATCAAACCTTATAAATTGTACCTCCCCAATTTCATTACGGCCAGCGTTTACCTCTTTTATATTAAAAAAAATGGTTTTAACCCTAGAACACTAACCATGGGTATATAGTACCCAGCGCAAATTTTCCTATTTTTAATTACAATTTTCAGTACCTAATTTACTTACCTAAATAATATGCTTTTCAATTCCTATTAATGTTAACTCAAAGTACAAAGTTTGAAGTGCCTGCATGTAAAATATTTCAAATAAAGATTTATATTTAATATTTTTTTGATATTTTCAAAATCGGGTCTGATATACCCATGGTTAGTAGTGGTGTAACTTTAATTGATGGTTAGTGTTCTAGGGTTAAACATAGAATAATATTATTATACTGTAGCTTTATTGTAATTCTTATTTTATTTTACAACATTTTTTTTTAAAGATTTTTTTGTAGCTGTGCATAATACGCACCCCTGCTTTTGCTTATTATTTTTTAGAAACAATGCATATTATACATGGGGAATTACAGTAAATGAAACATGTTTGAATGTAGATATGATGCTAAAATGTATGCACACACACACACACACACACACATATATATATATATATATATATATATATATATATATATATATATATATACTTGGTAAATATCGCTAGACCCGGCCAATAAGCAGTCCTTAAAAAATCTAATGCTATGGGAATATACCTCGTGATGACTTTGCACGCAGAGACATGGTTGTAGGTTTTAGCTTGCACACGTGTGTATATATAAGTTTGTTCAGCTTGTTATGAGATAGCTGACGAGGAGGCACATTTTTTTTTTTTTTAGAGAGGGTGCCTTCCATCCTTAAAGTATTCGCCATTGGAAAGATTGTCACTGGGTTCAATACTAGAACCACGAAGTCCTTCAGCATATCTTTTTTTTTTATCCTTTGCTAATCCATGATGCTCAATTGCGTGTAAGTACAATGGCAAAATGAAGACAATATTTTGTCCTTAAAAACCGGGCCGTCAGCCATCAGTTATTCTGGTCAATATTTGTTGCTAATGTTGCTAATCTCTTCCATCTTCTGTTCGTTGCCCAATTCCTGACATGTGAGAAAACAATATGGAGAGGGCGGGTGTGGCAGAAAGCAAAGGCGTTGCCGAGATAAAGGAAAGAGTAGGGTAGATAGAAGAGAATGAATCTGGAGTTGGACAAGTGATTATGGGGTGTGGGGAAAAGCTGAGAGGGTGGGGATAGATATAAAAAAAAAGGAGGTCGATTGAAAGGGACAAGATTTTAAAACTTAATGAAGGGAGAAAACGGCGGAAAAATGAGAAAGAAAGACAAACGTAAAAGACGGGTTGAGAATAAAAAATAGAGAAGGGAGAAAAGTGAAAATAAATAAATAGCCATGAGGTAGGGAGAAAGAAAATGATAAAGAAGACGTTGATGAGAGAGAGAGAGAGAGAGATGATTCTTGTAAAGTAAATATCATATTGGATTGGTGCATAATTATCAGGCGTTTTTTAAACAATACTTATTATGAAAAAAGAAACAACAATCTTTAAATGATTAACATAATTTTTGTAACCTGAAAATAAAATATTTTTATTAAACAAAACAGCCATTTTTATTAACAAATAACACGCCTACAAAAACGCCTGATAATTATGCACCAACCATATAGAAAACATGATAATCGAATGGGAGATGTTTTTAAAAAAAATGGAGGGCGAAGGAAATAGAGAAAAGATGAGATTTCATATAGAAAGAGAAACTGAGGAGGAAAATGAGACAGAAGTATTGAAAGCGAGACAAGCAGAAAAAAGAAGAAGATAGGGAAAGAAAAATGAGAGGCAGAAGAAGAAGCTGAAAAAGAAGGAAGAAATGACATAAAAAGAAGAAAAATGAAAAGAGGAGACAGTCGAAGAAGGAAAAAGATAAGAAGAAGAAGGAAGAAGATATACAAAAAAGAATAAAGAAAGAGACGTGCGAAGAAGCAGAAGACGAAAGATGTGAAAGGAAGAAAAAGAATGGAAAGGAAGAAGAATAAAAAAGCGAAAGAAAAATAAGAAAGAAATGAAGAATAAGAAATAATGGAAAGGAAGACGAATACGTAAGAAGGAAAAGGAAGAACGAAGAAGGGGGAAAAGGGATAGACAGGAGGGAAAGAAAGAAGTGATAAGGAGAAAAAGTGACAAAAAAAGGAAGATACAAGGAGAAAAAGAAAGAAGCGACAAGAGAAAAAAAGCTAAGGAAAAATAAGGGCTCGTAGAACTAATTTCTTTTTCTTTAGATGGCTTGTCAATTTAAACACCTCATTGTCTCCCATTAGCAGGACTGATGCTTTTCTCTAGGAAAGTGACTCGTTACGCCTTCTCAGACTAATGTTCTCTGCTGATATGTAGTGGAAAGACTATATTGAATCCATAACTATGTCAGTTGCTAAGAAGGTCGGTTCACTGCGTCGTGCGAGACAATTTTTCCTTCCGGAAGCTATCTTGTATATCTATAAGTCTACCATTTGTCCATGCTTAGAATATTGCTGCCACATATGGTCCAGTGCCCCTGCTATTTACCTGAAGCTTCTTGATAAGATCCAGAGAAGAATCAGCAATATCATAGGTCCGTATCTGGCGTCTCCGCTTCAGTAACTTACCCAACGCCGTTAGATTGGCTCTCTGTGCCTTTTTTTTTTAAATAAATACTTTCATGGTCACTGTTAGGATTATCTCTTCACTTGGTACATAGACTATGAATTTAACCGCAATACTAGACTAGCGTCGCAATCTCATCAATTTACAGTTTAGCTGGCTATGTGTAGCCGTAAGTTCTATGCTAATAATTTCTTTTCTCGCACTTCTCGCTTGTGTAACTCTCTTCCGGCTCCATGCTTTCCAGCCAACTTTAATATGCAAAAATTTAAATGCAATATCAATCGCTATCTTTTGTCCTCCTGATTACTCTTTTCTCTTTCAACTCATTACTAATGTAATTCCTCTACACCCTGTAACCCCTTGTGGCTGTACTGCCTTAGATAGAGTGATACTGATGAAAAAATTTGAAAAAACGAACATGTAGAAAAGAAAGAAGAGGAACAATCTGTTTGATTTGTCTTTTCTTCTTTTTTTTTTCAACTGAATCAACCACTTCCGGTTTGTTTTTAACACCGAAACATATTCTGGATTTTAAGAATAATTCATTTTTTTACGAGCGATTATTGCATCAACAATTTTTTTAAGATAACAATGATTTTCCCAGATATAACTCCTACTTTAAACATTTTTTTCTACAAATATTTTCACGGAAACTGTTTTGACGAGTTTTTTTGTCCTAGTGACGACATGAATTTAAACGTGCTACTAGATTGGCATTTAGGTCCCACTCTTTTACTTCTACTCCAACAGTTTCTTTTCTCGCACTTCCCTACAGTGAATCTCCTTTCCGTTTAATTGCTCCTTTGAAAACTAGTCTTCAAAAATTTAAATGCAACGCCAATCGCCATCTTCCTGAACCCCGTTCATCTTTTATCCTTTCCTCAATTCTACATCTACCCAGTCTTCTCTCTCACTTTCACTCTCTGTAAAGTCCCTACCTATAGGTGACACTTCCACCTTGCTTGGGGTGAAATGATTAAAAAAATATCCGCGTAACTGAATGTTACGACGACTTACAGCCACATTACGTTGAAACACCGCTTCTTCTCTGGTCACCGAACTTAAGCAACGTTGAGCCTGTCCAGTACCGAGATGGGCAGCCGCTAGGGAATACAAAGTGTTTCGATGTGCGAATACCTTCGGGTGATCATGAATCAAAAAGAGGCCAGATGGCCCAAGTGTGTCACATCCGATTTCTTCTATTAGGCATTTGGTCAGTATTAATGGATAATGGCCAATTCCACAATCCATGAATCTGGAGAAGGCCTATACGCAACAAAGGACTTTCACAGGCTGAAGAGAAAGAAGAAAGAAAGAATATAACAAACCCGACTGGAATTCGATCACAGCTCACCGATTACTTATTCCGAATCGCTATCCATTACGCTATCCGCAGATTCACATTTTATTTTCTAATTCACTTCAAACATGGCGATCATGGCACAAAGACACAGGGAGGTAGCGGGAGTGAAATGGAATGGTAAGACTTCAGACAGGACAAATAAGGTAAAGAATAACAAAGGAACAAGATTCAAGAAGAATGGCGACAAATTTGTGAAGATTGTAGGCGTCAGGGAAGCAAGAAACCGAAAGGGGCAAGTAGTGCGAGAAAATAAACTTAGTTCAACAGCAAAAAGGTGAGATCTAGTTACCAGTCTAGTCTTATGTGCCATGTCCCTTCAGAACGTTGGCGATCATGGCTCTCCACAATTTCCTACTCATTGTATCTCTTAATAACTTTCGTCTTTTTGCCATCTTTCCCAAACCCTACTCCGCTGTCCATTCGCTCAAGCTCGCCAGGTAGGATGGGCATTGCTTTCTCCTGGACGACAAATTTCTAGAAACAGTGACAAAAAACAGGACAAATACTTAACATCAGAAAGAGACTGTTGAAATTTCTGGTTTACATATTGAGGAAAGAATGCTCGGAAATTTTGATACTCACATACCAATCTTGTAGCATGCTTAAATTCATGAAGTCGAAGCACTAGAGAGAAAAATTGGTAGCAAGGTTAACCCTACTTCTGCTTCTGCTCTTAATAATTAGCATTGGCAATATAGGAATAATGCACCGATCATTTGATATATTTTAGCCCAAAATACAACTGTTAAATCCAGCCTTATGCTCTGTGGTTAAGTACTGTTTTTGACAAGAATAATCTGCCCCGGTTGAAAGTTTAGTATTCGTCATCATTAAAAGTCATTTCCACCGACAGCAGAATAATTAACCCTCCCACGATGGATAAAGCTGATCCGACTGGCCAAATATGACATGGATATTGGTATTTTATTATATTCGGCTTACGTGCAATCGACCAAAATCAGCTCTTCGTGAGTATATTTGCCTCTACCAGATAGCTGGACCATAATCCTGCCAGAATATATGATGAACTCTCCTGTCGTTTTCGACGAATGAGGGTCCAGCAATTGGAATTCTTAGAAGTGAATCGCCAAACTACCCACGCATATGGTTTAATGATGAAAACGAAAATGCAAAATTAACCACACTTTTCGGAGAAACAAAATACAGTAATCTCGTACACACACAATGGACCACAAGGTCACCAAACGACCGGCCTCAGGTTTTTAAATTTAAATTGTCCTTCCCCTAGAATGGTTGTCAACCAAGGCTAAAGAGCCCAGTCTGTTCTACTATTGAACCCATTGATAGGGGAGACGAAAAGATGGATTCATACTTTTTCCAGGCTATTTTCGGATAAGTGTATGTAACGAACCTGACTGGAATTCGAACACGATTCTCCGATTTCTCATTCACAGTCGCACATCCATACTAGAAATAATATATACAATTATTATTATTTAATGGATACACGTATTTGAAAGGGAAGCTGCATTTTTATTTTAAGTAGTGTGTATTAGGCTATCGGCCGGCGCATTCGAGGGATCTTCAGGAAAATTTGATTACTTCAATGCGAAGACCGATATACACTGTTTGAAATAAACAGGAAAATTACTCGTCTATTTCAAATAAAAGTACCTACTAAATAATAATGTTTAAATTAGTAAAGATGTTATATTATAAATAAATTATATATATATATATATATATATATATATATATATATATATATATATGTGCGCTTGAGTGTGTTTGTATAATGTGCTATATATATATGTGTGTGTGTGTATGTCTGTGTATATATGTTTGTATATATATATTTATATATATATATATATATATATATATGTGTGTGTGTATAATGTGTTATATATATATATGTGTGTGTGTGTGTATAATGTGTTTATATATATATGTGTGTGTGTATAATGTTTATATATATATATATATATATATATATATATATGTGTGTGTGTGTGTATATATATATATATATATATATATATATATAATGTGTTTTTATGTGTGTATAATGTGTTTTTATATATACGTGTGTGTGGGATGTATGTATAATGTGGTTTTATATATACATTTGTGGGGGGTGTATGTATAATGTGTTTATATATATATGTGGGTGTATGTATAATGTGTTTGTATATATATATATATATATATATATATATATATGTGTGTGTGTATGTATAATGTGTTTGTATATATATATATATATATATATATATATATATATATATATATATATATATATATATGGATGCATAATGTGTTTGTAATATACACGCTTACACACATCATACTCACTGACTCCCTAAGAACCAAATAACACACACACACACACACACACACTTAAGAGACACATGCTCTTTCCAGGAACCAATAAATCTGTCAAAATGATCAAGGGAATTCAGAGCAGCATGAATCCATCCAGCTCTTATCTTAAATAACAACTTAAAAGACACTGTTTGACCAACACAAGGATGACCAAAATTCATGTTAAAAAAATAAAAAAACAAATGAAAACTACAGACAAAAGTTCATTTTCTCCATCAAGACATTCATTTCTGTAGTTCACTGCTACCAGCAAGCAGAGTTTTTTTTTTCTCCATGTTGGCCGAAACTAGTCGAGGAATCTAACTGAAATAATAAAAACGAAAAATGTTAATATACAATCCAGTGTGGCTGAAGATTTAATTTTTTTTAAATTTTTTATTGTTCAAAATATATATGCAATTTTCATATATATTATTTATATATTATATATGCACGGTACTTATTGGAAAAAAAGCTCAATATCAACTATAAAGTTAACATATTTAATTGAGTTGATATAATTTTGTGACCCTGGGGAGAGAAAGACTG